CAGCTCTCAATGGCCCTGCCTCCTGTGTCTCTTCCCCCAACTCACACCTATGGTGGAGGATGAGGACATCCAATATATCTTTCTAATGTTTCCTGGACACCTTGAGTTCTGGACCCTATTACAAATCCTTCTTTTGGGGGCCCCCTGGCTGCACCCTCCTACAATGGTACCATAAGATTATAATGGAACTGAAAAATTCCTGTTGTGTAGTCACAGCTAGCCTAAAACATTACTCAGGTGTTTGTGGTAATGCTAGTGTAAACAAACCTACTATGCTGCCAGTCCTATAAAAACATATAGCACATACAATTATATGTAGTACATAATTATTGATAATGATAAGTAACTAGGTTACTGGTTTATGTATTTCCTATTTACTATTATTTTATGTATTTATTTTTTATTTTATTTTTTTGAGAGGGGCAGGGAGGGAGAAAGAGAGGGAGAGAAACATCAATGTGTGGTTGCCTCTCATGTCCCCCTACTGGAGACCTGGCCCACAACCCAGGCATGTGCCCTGACTGGGAATCGAACCGGCGACCCTTTGGTTTGCAGGCCGGCACTCAATCCACTGAGTCACAGCAGCCAGGGCACTATTTGCCATTATTTTAGAGTGCACTTTTGCTACTTATAAAAAAAAGTTTGCTGTAAAACAGCATGTTGTTAGGCTGGGAGCAGCCTTGTACACCTCATGTTTACATCTTTTGACTGCATCATGTGCTCTTGGGCTTGACTTAATCTTGCTTTGTTTTATAAGTTTAGTGTAGCCTAAGTGCACAGTGTTGATAAAGTCTACAGTCCTGTACAGTAATACCCTAGGCCTTCACACGCACTCACCACTCACTCACTGACTCACCCAGAGCAACCTCCAGTCCTGCAACCTCCATCATGCTAAGTGCCACATTCAGGTGTACTATTCTATATCTTTTTAAAAAGGTTTTATTAGTTTATTTTTAATGAGAGGGGAAGGGAGGGAGAAAGAGAAGGAGAGACTGATGTGAGAGAGAAATATTGATTGGATGCCCCTTGCACGTGCCCCGACTGAGGACTGAAGCTGATACACAGACACATGTCCTGGCCTTGCAATACAACACCCAACTGAGCCACACCGGTCAGGAACATTCTATATCTTTTATACCATAATTTTACTCTAACCATGTGTTGTCTACAGTATTCAGTTCTGTAACATGCTGTCCAGGTTTGTAGCCTAGGAGCAGTACTCTGTACCATACAGCCTAGGTGTGTAGTAGGCTGTACCATTTAGGTTTGCACAAGTGCACTGTGATGTTCATGCAACAGTGAAACTGCCTATCAACGAATTTCTCAGGATGTTTCCCCGTCATACGGAGGTGCATGACCTTCTCAATGAAAAACAAAATGGTTCTTGTTTGTGTATTACGGCAATTTTGGTAGTGGAAATGCCTGCACACAGTAAATTATTCAAACTCTAAGGAAGGCAGGGATTTTTAAACTGGCATTCATGGATAGAATTCAGATGTCTGAATGTAGACAACAAACTGCAGAAGTATTAGCATTACCTGTGACTTTGTCACCGATAGAAATCACAGATTTCATCATTATTGCAGCTACCTTAAATACCATTGACAGTCATAACTACAAAATCAGAGTGGTTTTTCTTTTTATTTATTTTATTTTTTAAGTATTTTTGTTTATTTTTAGAGAGAAGAGAAGGGAGGAAGAGAGGGAGAGAAACAACGATCAGTTGGCTCTCGCACGCCCCCAACTGGGGACCTGGCCTGCAACCCAGGCATGTGCCCTGACTGGGAATCGAACTGGCGACCTTTTGCTCTATGGGGTGAACCCAACTCATCGAGCCACACTAGTCAGGGCAAAATCACGGTGGTTTTTAGATTTACCACAAGATCCTACTTAATAGAGTAACATGTATATTTTTATATTTATATATATAAAGCAACTTTAAAACTTTTGATTACTGTATTTCAGTATAATTGCTGTCCTTTGTAATCTTATGTATTTTACTTTATTCATTTAAAATCATTCTGAGAAGGGATCCACAGGCTTGGGCATGAGGCAAAAAGTCTCTGACCTGCCCCTTCCCCAGTTCTGGATTGCCATTTCCAGAGACAGTCTATGTATAAGCACCAGTATCTGTTTTATATTTTTACCGAAATGGTAATATACTATATACAGTTTGCACCTTTGTTTTTAATTTTTACATAGCTGCATACTGTTCTGTTGAATGGGTATACCATAATTTATCATCTACTGATGGACATTTTCTTTCTAGATGATGCTGTAACGAATACCCTTGTACATTTTATACATGTGATTACATCCACAGGATGAATTCCAAGAAATGGAGTTGCTGGGTCACAGGGTATATTTATAATGTTTTAAAGTTTTTTTAATCCTCACCCAGGGACATATTTATTAATTTTAGAGAGAGGGGAAGGAAAGAAGAGAGAGAGAAACATTGATGTGAGAAACATTGATCAGTTGCCTCCTGTACGTGCCTCAACTGGGGATCACACCTGCAACCTAGGTATGTGCCCTGACTGGGAATCAAACCCGCACAACCTTTCTGTGCACAGGCCGATACTCTAACCAACTGAGCCACACTGGCCAGAACTATAATTTGATAGGTACTGCCAAAATGTTCTCCACAGAGGTTATAACAATATACATTTGCACTATTAATGAATGAATTCTTGTTTCCCCATACCTTTACCAATGTTAAATTTTGAACTTTGCCAATCCAATAGGTTAAAAATGGGATCTCACGTTGTTTTCTATTTGTATTTTACTATGAATGGGTTTTTAAATGAGTTTTACTCTTTAAGCATTGAACTTAATGAAAAAGATGCAGTTTCAGAGCAGAATTGAATGCTTATGCCATGCCTTAATTTTTTCCCTTACCAAGTTCTTCAGAACCTTAGTTGCCAGTCAAAAGCTAACTTCCCAAAGGTTTACTTGGTGTCAGAGGCTCATTCCTACCCCACTTCCTCACAAACTAGCTGTAATTGTCATGCCACAGAAATTACTTTGCTTTTTTTTAGCACTCCAACTTCCTTCCTTTGTGGGTGACATACATGCAAAAGGCATGCACTTGGTATCCTGGGTAGGACTCTAGTTCGGGAGCGTCTCCTACGTATACAGCTTATCAGAATTTCATTCACGATTTTCAGAATTGATCGCCCATATTTATACCTTTTCTTAAATATTTTTATTTATTTTTAGAGACAGGGGAAGAGAGGGAGAAATAGAGGGAGAGAAGCATCAATGTGTGGTTGCCTCTCATGTGGCCCCCACTGGGGACCTGGCCCACAACCCAGGCATGTGTCCTGACTGGGAATCAAACCAGTGACCCTTTGATTTGCAGCCCACGCTCAATCCACTGAGCTACACCAGCCAAGGCTTATATCTTTTTAAAAAAGATTTTGTTTATTTATTTTTAGAGAGGGACAGGGAGGGAGAAATAGGGGGAGAGAAACATCTATTGGTTGCCTCTTGCACACCCCCAACCCAGGATCTGGCCCACAACACAAACATGTGCCCTGACCAGGAATTGAACTGGCAACCTCTTGATTTGCAGGCCAGCACTCAATTCTCTGAGTCATACCAGCCAGAGCTGATAGCACTTATTTAGAGACATTGTTTCAAATGTGGTTTTTAATGCAGTTTCATCTTATATCTACTATTTTGAATACTTCTATCATACTGGTATATCTGGATCCCAGGGGCAGCTTTTAGTCTGCTCAGTGGGGAAAATAGGAAGGCATAGCCTGCTGGGGTGCTCAGAAACCCTTCCAAAATGGGAAACATAGGTCTGGAGGTGAAGTTGCAACTATGTGGCATATTGTGGGCATGTCAAATGAGTGTCAAGAATCACACAGTTGTGTTGGTGAAGTTTCATTTTATTTATCTATTAATTAACTTATTTAAGTCCTCGCCTGAGGATATATGTATTGATTTTAAAGAGAGAGGAAGGGGGGAGGGGAGAGAGAGAGAAAGAAACATCAATTGGTTGCCTCCTGTATATACCCCAACCAGGGATCGAACTGTTTGGTGTATGGGATGACGCTCCAACTGAGCCGCCTGGCCAGGGCCAACGTTTTATTTATTTTTAGAGAGGGGAAGGAGAAAGAGAAGGAGAGAAACATGAGTGTGTGGTTATCTCTCACACACCCCCATGGGAGAGACCCAGCCCGCAACCCAGGCACATGCCCTGACTGGGAATCAAACGACAACCCTTTGGTTCGCAGACCAGCAGTCAATCCACTGAGCCACACCAGCCAGGGCCCAAAGTTTTATTTGTTAAGCAGTACAGTATTCATAATATTCTTTATGCTTTTTATATGTGATATAAATATGGGATTATAAAATAAAAAAATGTAGACACACAGAACATTAGTCCTGGAAAGGTTGGTCATACATAAACTATACACTTGAAGATGAGCAAATGTTTTCATACTGACATTTCTCCCTTTGACCAACACTTGGTGAATGGCTGCTCAGTCTAGTACAAACACCCAATAGAACTGAGTGCCTCTCTACCCCACAATAAACATTTATTTTAAAACACAGGAGTTAATGCTGAATGGCCATTTGTGTTCCATTAAGGCAATGGAGCTAATAATTGTCCTGGCAGATCACAGCTGGCTAACATATAAAAGAAGTGTTGTCTAGGAACCCATGTTATGATTTTCATATGCTTATCTGTCTTTTTGATGCCCGATTCAATGTGTGAATAGTGGGAGCTGATACCTGACTCCCCTGGAGATGGTTTCTACATTAACTTATGGATATACTGAGAATCAGATAAATTAGTTCTAAGAGGAATGACAAGTTAAAAGGAGTCTGCTTGATCCATCTTTGAGAACCACTGACTGAACACCTACTGTAGTGTATAGAAGCCTTTACCCGCCCAATTTTGCACTTACAAACCCACAATGACAGAGTTCATAAAATATAAGGATTATTTAACATCTTTTAAAGAAATAAATAGAATGTATAAAATATAATCTGCATTCCATACAATTTTATTTTCTCCCTTCAACCATAATGATATGATATCCAAATTTTGTCTTAACTGGAGGGTCTGTAAACACAGGCTTGTCCAGGCCACTTACAGGCAAAGCAAATGCTGCTTCTTGAAATGGTCCCACCATGGACCCTCTGGTCATCCAACCCAGGTCGCCCTGAAAAACCCAAAAGATATGTGATGTCAAATGGCTCTGCAGAGGGAACAGTTCTACCGTAGCTTGAATGCTAAGGTTCCTAGGTTTCTTCATTTGGGCTGTAAAGAAGTAGGCTAGACAGGACAAACGGACAGAGGTCCTACTCTGCACTGAATCCACAAGCAGTCACAATGTTGCCGGGTATCTGTGAGCTGTGCAATTTTGGTCATACCTAGGTTTAGACATAGGTGACCCATATTCAACTGTTTACAAGTTGGACATTTCTGTTTTTATGATCTTTAAACCCAGATATGGCTACAATTAATGGCAAAACATAGAAATAATCCCAAGTGTTGGGGGACAGCTCATATTAAATGATAAGAGTAACATACCCCTTGCCTGGCTTTATCTTCACTATATTGTGTGGCCACTTCATTGAATCTCATCCCAGACTTTAACTTTTCCAAGGCTTCCATGATTTTGCCGTGTTTCTCACACAGAATGTGCCTGACCTACAAGGAAAAAATACGTTTGTATAATACCTGGAGATCCAAACGATTCATTTCTTCACAGTACAACAGTCAGTACACAGTGGACTAGGAATCCAACCGGCGACCCTTTGGTTCGCAGGCCCACATTCAACCCACTGAGCCACACTAGCCAGGGCACATTTTTAAAAGGAATTACTTTTTGTGAGACTGGTCTGTAATTTCCAATTGTGTGTTATCTTGATTTTTCTATCAGTGTTGACCTGTTCCCTTAGAATGAGTTAAGCAAACTGTCTTTTCCTTTTATGTGTACCAAAGTAACACATGCTTACATTTAACGTGGAAAAAAAGGAACTAGTAACTCACCTTTACTGCATTGCCACCACCTTTGGGACCCTGAGACTTCTTGTCAGAACTGTCACTCCCAGATGCTGCTCCCCCTTTAGAGAAGAGATGACAGGTACTCATTTAAATGGCACCTTGATTACAGAAAGGTCTAACATAACAGTTGATACTTGTCACAGCACCAAGTTTCAAAAGGGAACGCTGCCAGATACTTGACTACATCAACCTAAATTAATGACTCACCTCCCTTTTTTACAAAAATATGGATTGCTTCATGAATTTGTGTATCACTCCTGCACAGGGGCCATGCTAATCTTCTCCATATCGTTCCAATTTTAGTGTGTGTGCTGCCAAAGCGAGCATTCACTTCTCTTAAAACAGGAAATTTGTGCCCCACATAAATCCTTTACTGGAAAATAGGTACATAGGTAAGTGTGCTGATGATTGAATGCGAGTTCCAGAAGCTGGGTGCAGTTCTCTGGACTCAGTTTGATATCCTGCCTTCTAAGTGAAAACCCCTGAGCTCTTGTAAAATGTCTAATAAGCACAGCAACTACGTATTTGAGTACTAACAATTCCAATATGTAAAATCCCTAGAAGTATATATTAAATAAAGATCAAATTCCCCACCACCCATAATTGCCTAAAGAATACATTTATGTCTGAATTCTCAGAGTCTGCTACATTGCTTATTGATAGCTTCCTAAGAAAAGTTATCAGTATTCTGATTAATGACTGGCAGAAACTTATGTTTTACTAGTATATCATTTTACTACATTGTCCACTTCTGTGCCAATGGCAACACACGTACTGTTAGAGGCTGATTTTCCTAAGAACTATCACTGGATTAAATGTTCAGTTCAATAAACATTTCCTAAATATAAGTACTAAGGTCCAGGCACTGGGACTACAAAGACAAATAAGCCATGGTACCTTTATTCACAGGGCTCATTTGCTCTCAGATATGCAAACAGATTGTTTCAGAATGATTTATGACCTATGGACAGGGGGCTGTGGAAGCACAGAGGGACATTTGAGCCAGTCAGGGAAGGCTTCCTGGATGTATAGGCACTGACCAGGTGAAGAAAGAACAAGGGTGAGGGGACTCTCCAGGGTGGAAGAACAGGAAGGTATGTGTTGGAAACTATGGACATAGCGTAATCTGAGGTGGGAGTACTGTGAGATGAGCCCAGGGGATGTGGCTGAGGGCTAGGGTGTGAGGGCCTTTAGGTCCCGTTACGGAACTTGGAATTTATCCTTGAAGTAACAGGGAGCCATTGAAAAGTTTTAATCAGGACACTCCAACATATACATAGCTCCAAAGGCTAGCACAGTGCCTGGCACACAACACTTGTTCAATAAATTTCAACTGAACTGAAAAAGCAAAATACTGTACTGACCACCAAATGCTGAAGAGCATATTACCATTGAAGGAGTTTCACTACATCCAACTCTTCTTTAACATTTATTTTTAAAGAGCAGGGAAGGTGGGGAGAAAGAGAGGGAGAGAAACGTTGGTGCATGAGAGAAACATTCATCGGTTGCCTCTCACACAGCCCGACCAGGGACCTGCCCGCAACCCAGGCATGTCTGCTGACTGGCAGTCAAAGCAGTGACCTTTCAGTTCGCAGGCTGAGCCACAATCCACTGAGCCACACCAGCCAGGACTCCATCAAACTCTTAAGTGGATCTGTTGCATAGTCACATTGAACAATGATGCCTTCTGATCATCCTATCCTCTTCCCTACTGGATGCTGTCATCTTCTGACTGTCACCTCACTCTGACTGACTGAGGACTTTGGCATCAGCTTCAGGCTTCTTTTCCACTCTCAATCCTGCCATCATCTTAGATGAGCTCACCATCTACACCGAGGAGTCATCCAACAACCTAACTGCATATTTCTGGACCTCCTTCCCAAATGTGCATACTGTCTATTACAGGCCACTTGCTCCCAGAGGCACATGATGAAACCAGTGCAGCTCAGAACCAGTAGTTCAGTCTTTGGCTCCAACTTCCTGTTCTTCCAGCTTTCTCATGCCTCATTCCCACAACACTACTAGCTCTTTGACTTCACAGAAATCACCCCCACCTTCAGTCCCTTTATCCAGCTATGCTCCCCTACACTCTCAGACTTCTCCTTCCCTTCCCAGTCTGGACCCCATGCTTGAATCATCTGAACTCGATCCTTTCCCACTAGCACCCTTAATTCCCTTGGGTGGTGACCCTTCTAGTATCATTGCCCAACAAAACCTTAACCTTGGCTCAAGGCTATTCCTAACTCTTTTCAATCCCATATTGTGCCAGTTGCCTGGTAGTAGGTAAATCATGACTGTGCAGAATGTGTCCTCTACAAATTCATGGCCTTCAATCTTGGGCTGTCAGCCCTCGAGGCAATCCTTTTATTATCCCTCCTCACATCACCTTCAGAGACTATTCCAAATCCTTACCACTCTCGGGACTTCTACTCAGTCCCTGCCCCTCAGTCTTAAAAATTACTCTTGCCTTCCACTTTATTAAGAACTCGAGGCCATGCCCTAACTGGTGTGGCTCATAGGTTGGTCGTCATCCCATAGACCCAAAGGTCGCCAGATGGATTCTGGTCAGGGCACATGCCTGGGTTGCGGGCCAGGTACCCGGTTAGGGGCGTGCGAGAGGCAACTGATGGATGTTTCTCTCGTGTATTGATGCTTCTCTCTCTCCCTTCTCCTCTAAAAGTAAATAAAGCCTTTTTAAAAAGTAAACTGAGGCCACTAAGTACAATCTCCTACGAACTCCACCTCTTCCCCACTCTCGGGGCCTAATTTTTACAACCACACCCATCCCCATCTTTATCCTTGTGGCCTCAAGCATCAGGTGTCCCTTCTCTTCAAAGCTCAACTGCTTCGCCTCTGTCCCGGACCCCGTTTTCTCCTAAATCTCACTCTTCTGTAACTTTACCTCTCAAACTCTACTGGATCCTTCACATCGGCCTCACTCCCAAGTTTTCCCCAAACAAAATTTTCTCTTAGTCCTTTGTCCTTTTCTACCTACCACCTAATCTCCATGCTTTTTTAATTAAAGCTTTCCAGAGACGTCCACAATAACCACTTCCGGGTCACTGACCACCCGCTGCCTCCTTCCCGGACTCCGGGGATGGCCGGTCAGGTCCCACCCCTCTTGCCCGACCTCTTTCTCCCTTGTTGCTCTGGCCGCTCTACCTTTTCCCCCTTTTCCAGAACCGCTTTTTCCTTTAGGTGGCATCTGCGAAACTTGACGTAGAACTCTCAACTGTCAGTTGCGGCGCAAAGCCCCCTTCAAGCCCCCCGGGCTTGTCCCACACAAATGCCTGAAAACGGCATCAAAATGGACCCTTTTTGCTGCGGCTCCGGAAGCAGGCATATCTTGGGGCAGGCCCAGGCCCAAGACTCTTGGACCAGTATGGCTGATGGTGCCTGACCAATAAGAAGCTTGGGCTGGGGCGGGGCCCAAGGTAAAGCGAGGCAGGAAACCCCGCCTCTGCGCTTTTTGTTCCCTTTTTCACATTCCCTTATTTGCGCGAACCCCGGTCTCCCGTTTCCCGGCTCCCCCAACCCTACACCCTTTACGCGTGCGTAGTGAAAGCCGCAGGCCTCTGCAGTCTCTCGGCGCCAACTCTAGCGAATCCCGCGTGGTCCCCAGACAAAGGGAAAGCGGGAAGAGCCTCGGTGGCTGCCCCCTCCTCCTGCCCCTGCTACACACTAGCCCGCCCACTCTTGCGATTTTTTTCATGTCTAAATTTTATTTTGCAGCTGTAGCTGATTGAGTTGAAAGGATACTTTTCAAAAAAAGGCTCTCACCCCTCTGCCTCTTGCAGAACTCCGTCATGGAGAAAAATCGGAAGCTGTAGGACATTGCTTAAAAAATGTTTCAACCACAGAAAAGGCTGTGTGCCATTTACAATAACGAGAGTAAAGCTGTCTGTATAGACACAGGAAATGACCTTAAGGAAGATTACTGACCAAGCTATAGAATATTCCTTTTTAAAAAAGTATATAGTGTACAATATATGCATATAAAGGACAGGAAGGCTACCTAGCAAAATATGACCAGTGGTGCTAACACAGGTTCTCGTGTTTGTTTCTGTGTATTTTCCAAAATTACCATAATGATGCAGCATAGAATAGTAGTTAAAAGCATGGATTCTTGAGCCAGACGCCTGGTTTCAAATCCCTTCTGCACCATCTGGCTACTAGCTCTGTGACCGTGAAGTTACTTCAGTCTCTTTGGCTTGGTTTCATCATCTGTAAAATGGAGTTGATGATAATAGTACCTACTTACAAGATGTTATGAGAATTAAATAAGTTCATATTCATAAAGCACATAAAACAATGAGTAGTTCATAGAGTATTAGCTTCAGATAAATGAGTTTTCAATTTGTGTCCTCACACTTTCTCCCCTAACCCGAAACCCCTTCCCCCCAATTTATATATAAGGTCAGGGCTTTTCCTCCACTCCATAAGATAGCTGTGCCAGTTTCCACTGCCAGCTAGATCCTATAGGTGGTTCAGCTCAGCAGTTAGTTTTTGGAGACAGCCACAGCCTTGATGGACTGGGATGTTTTGTGCTGACACCAGTGCGTCAGGTATTTCTGAGACCATGCCCACCTCCAACTCATACATAAGAAGCAGCCCCCTCATTTTGTGCTGCTGTGATTTCTGGACACGACACATCTTGGGTACACCTTATTTCAGATTGGTAGTGATCAACTGTGGGGAGCACACCCAGAACAAAAGGAATCATTGCTCCCCCACTTCTGAGGTGGATCCCATAGGAGACACGTACTGACCTGCCAAGTCCAATTGGGAGATGTGGGCTTTGACAATGACAGTGTGGCCTGATGTTTATCTGCTCACCCACAGCCAGGAGGCCTAGGAGGCGCCTTTACTTGTGGGTGTTCATCTGGAACAGTGTTTCCTGAGACCACTGGCTATGCAGTCTTGGTATGGGAGTGAAGCAGAGTTCAGATCCCAATGAAGAGCCAGTGTTCAATGGCTGGTGTGCTTAGTGCAGGGAACATTGTGAGAGCCCGTGCGGTCCAGTAGACAACAGCAGCAACAATAATAAGCGAGCCTGTGCAAGAGGCTGAATTTGCCCAAAATAGTGCCTAAAGGGCCAAAACTCAATGGAGAAAAAGATAGCCACAAGTCTGTTGGGGGGTTTCAGGGTTAAAAGCACTTTAGAGACAGATACAAAAGCATGTTTGATCTCAACTATACAGTGTGTGTCATAAAAATATGGGGAGGGAAATATCATAAAATCTTGTGTTCTGGAATATGATGAGTTTGTGGCTAATTTTCATTTTTTCCTGTTTATGTCAACTGGCATATTTTTTTTACTACCAAGAAAAAAGGCAATAAATGTTATTTGTAAAACAACAAAGAAGCTAGCTTCTATACAGGTTTAAGTCTGAACCAGTCTGTGGAGGCCAACTGTGGAGGAGTCTGTGGAACAGAGTGACGAAGGAACAGAAGAACAGGCGGGGGGCAGAGAGGAGAAAACTTCAGTCTTGAAACCATGGTAACGACTGCAGGAGTGTGCACAATGAGTCAGAGCCAGGAATGGCTGCCAGTTGTATTTTCTATTAATTATCTCCTCAAACTGATTCCTCCATGCATTTCTTAAACAAGCAAAAGCAGGAAGGGAAGCTGGCAGCTCTCTTCCCAGAAGAGAAGTTCACAAACCTTCACCCAGAGTTACTGTTCTGCCCAATCTGGTCTACAACCAAAGGGCTGTAGTGTCTTTTCCATTTGAGATTCCAGCAGAGCTTATTCTGAAAAGGGAGCTTGAAGCAACAAAACAGCAATCTAGTTGATCCCATTAAGAGGTAGTCAATGCATGGGGAGCTCTGGGTCCCAGACTCTGGGGACAGGGATAGAAAAAGGCCACACTTTGGAAATTGAAACCAGGAAAAATAAGTACACGGTGGATAAGATCAGCCACCTGCAAAAGTAGCCACCCATTATGGCAAATGGATTCGGGTATATTGCTGATTGGATAGAGGCAGCTCCTGAGCCTAGTCAGTGGCTGGAGAACTTTCTGTCCTTCATGATGTTGTTACATGCCTGCCATTAGATAACGGAGCTTTGAACAACTGGTTTTTAAGAAAGGGCTTTACCAAAGAACTTATATGTACAACCCATGGACATGAACTAAGGGGCCGGAATGCTGGAGGGTGGAGGGTATACAGGGTGGAGAGCGATAAAGGCGAGAAAAAACTTGGGACAACTATAATAGCATAATCAATAAAATATACTTTTTAAAACGGGGGGCTTCAGAGAAGATTCTATCTATGTTTATCCAGCATTGTCTTAAGCAAAAGAGCTGCAGTTTCTGGAGGCACTAATATTCCAGTATCTAGTGAGGTGGATTTTGTCAAAGGCAGTGTTCATTTGAGACAATGGAAAACAGCCAACACAAATAGCATATGTAGCATGACCCTGGAGCTTTCCCTTCATGATGTCTTTCAGTTTTCACAAGTCTTGTTACAGAGAATCACCGTGGCCATTTTAGAGCTGAAGAAACAAGCTCAGAGAGATTAAGAAATGTCTTTTAGGTTTTACAGCTAAGGACTGTGGCAGGGTTGGGCTCTGAACTCAGGTCTGTCTGACTCCCGAGCTGGTACCCTTGCTTTTTAGGGGATGATGACTTGCCTTGCGATCCCCTAAATGAAATCCAAGAACACCCAGTTCCCTTTGTTCTGAGTGCATGTTCCCCAAGTCAGCTTCCCGGGGATCTGAGGCCTCACAAGGGAACATGGTGCTCAAGTGGTGTCAAGGCCAAGTTACTCAGCCACCGTGGGACAGAGATTAAATGCTCCTCTGGCTTATGCACCAGTGTGTGTTGGTTCCGAGCAGTGAGGCAAGGAGAAGGAACACTGCCTGGGTGGGGGACAGTGGGCACAGCATTGTTACAAAGGCAGAGAGGGGACAGTAGGGAAGAGGTCTTCTGTATCCTCACCTTCAGGAACTGGTCTCCATGTCCAATGGATTCTGCCCCTGAAACAACTCTTCTCCACTGCTCCTCAACATTTTACAGTGAACAATGAACACTTAAGTAGGATTCACCAAACGTCTCCTGTGCTCATCCCCCACACTCTTTTCTGCTGCTACAACCCTTTGCACATTCTCTGGACCATTGGAACAACCTCCACATTGGCCTCTCAGTTGTCAAGTCTTACCACCCTCCAAACTACCTTCTCCAGTGTCTGACAGAGAGCTTTCAAAAACATAGATTTGATGCTCACTTCCTTAATTAAGTCTCTTCAGTAGCTACCTGGATGTTGAGAAGCTGCTTAGCCTGAAGACCCTAAGGCTATTCTGCTGCTATCTGCAGGCTTATCTCTTATTGGTCCCCAGTGGTCTCCAACCACTTTATTACCATTTATAGGCCCTCAAACGTGTAGTGCTGTCTTCAGACTTCATGCCTTTGCATATGCTCGTCTGTCTACCTGAATGCTCTTCCCCCATTTTTGATCTAGCTAACTCTTATTTACATTTCAAAATCCAGCTCAGCTGCTTCTTTCTCTTGGAAGCCTTCACTGATCCACTTCTCTACCTTCTCTCAGGCTAGGCTAAGTACTCCTCTGAACTCCCAAAGTGCCCTAGGCTTATCTTTAACATCTGTGATTTTGAGTAGTAGTCCATTCTATAGATGCAGCACCATTTGTTTAACCATTCACTCATTGAAAAACATTTGGGTTGTTTCCAGGTGGGACTACAACAAATACAGTGTCTATAAACATTGTGTACAGATTTTGGTGTGGATGCATATTTTCATTTCTCTAGGATTATTTCCAGGAGTGTAGTTGCTGAGTTGTATAGTAAATTGCATGTTTAATTTTGTAAAAAACTGCCACACTCTTTCCAGAGTGGCTATACCATTTCACAGTCCCACCAGCAATGTGTGGGTGATCTAGTTTCCCCATCTAATCAACAACATTTTGTGTTATCACAGTTTTTTTTTTATTTTAGCCATTTAGATAGAGGTGTATTGCTATCTCATTGTGATTTTTAATTTGCATTTCTCTAATGGCCAATGATGTTGAACATATTTTCATGTGTTAATTTGCTGCCTGTGTATCCTTTTCTGTGCAATGAATGTTATGCCTTTTGCCCAGTTTCTGATTGGATTTTTTGTAACTGTTGACTTTCGAAAGCTCTTTATATACTCTAGATATGAGTACTTTGTCAGGTATGTGGTTTGCAAATATTTTTTCCAAGTTTCTAACCTTGTCTTTTCATCCTCTTTAAGAGGATATCCTTCTTTTTTGTTTTCAAAACAAAAGTCCTTAATTTTTTTT